TCCTAAAAAGATATAATATTTTACCATATAGGTCTAATTCTCACTTGTTTCTACTCTATTTCAATAATTGCAGAAGTCCTAAAAGATATTAATTATACATATTGTTAAGTTATATTTTATCATTATATTATTATTTATTTATTTACTTATATTGTAATTATATATTAAAATCTTTTATTTCTACTCATATTAATGATTAAAATAAGTCATATTATATTTTCAATTTATTTGTTAAACTACACTTTATCAGAATTTATTTTATAATCACTGCATCTGATATAGTACTATTATTTCTTCTCCTTTTTTCTTCTACTAATAAATCTATTTTATTATCCTTTCAAATTATTCTTATAGTTATTTTTGTATTTAATTTAAAGATGTAAAATTAAATAATTTAAAAGTAAATTAAGATTCAAAAGATGAAAATTATACAATGATAAAAATACTTCTCTTTATAAATAAATTTATCTATTTATTTATCTTATAAAATTCTATACTTATGATTGAAATAATATAATAAGAACTTTTATGATCAAAATTTTGATTTTGTATTAAAATAAAAAGTCAATATAATAATTTAAATATTATATTATAATTATGTATAACTTATGATTAAAATAATACAATAAAATATTTTTGTGATTGAATTTTCTAATTTGTATTAAAAATAAAAAGTCAAAATAATATTTTAAGCATCGTATTATAATTATGCATTATATTATTTATAAAAATTAGATTAATCTAAAAATAACTTATGTGAATTTAATAAATATAATATATTAGATAATTAGAGCAGATCTACAATAATAAATTATTATTTTAGTAATAAATAAAAATCATTATAAAATTATTCATTATAATTTAGTAAAATCAATAAATAATTTTAATACAAGTTCAACAAAAAATTGGTTAAAAATTAATAAAAAACAATATGATTTCTCAATACAATTTTAATAAAATTTCAACAAAATTTTAACACAATCATAGATAGTATTATTTAATCATTATAATATTATCATTATACTATTATTATCTCACACTATTTTTATTATATTATTATATAAAAAATATAAAAAACTAAATTATTACGTAAAATAAATTATATGTAATATGTAAAAAACTAAATTATATGTAAAAAATATATATAAAAAAAATATAAATAAAAAAATTCAATTATGGTTAACAAACTTAATAAGGTTAGTTTATCATACAGAAATAAACTGCTATTTTAAAACTTTTTTTTTAAGCTTTTTAATTAATTTTAATTCTTTATTATTTACTTCTTCTTATTATTTCAAATATAAAAATATTTTATCAAATGATCTAATAGCTTTACTATGAGTAATAGTTGGTAAATGATCCTCTTCTTTTTTTTTATTTTATTCATTAAGTATAACTATCTTTAAAATTTCTTCATCAGATATCATTTCATCTGTAATTTCAGACTTATCAAATTAAACAAATTCTTCAGTTATCAAAATTAAGTTTATCGATTAAACTTAAACTTCTTTCAATTTTTTAAGACATTAAGCTTAAGTTTAATTTTACTTTTTTATCATTATTATTATTAGGCAAAATATTTGTCTTTATCTAACAATTTTTAGTAGTAAATTTGAAATTTTATCCCATACTTTTGAAACATATTTATATATTTTTTAATATTAATTTCTTCAGATTTAATATCAAATTCATTAAAATTATCAAACATTTTAACTTAAATTTATAGATATAACTTTTGATATTATGCCTAAATAAGTTGAATTTGAATCAAAGTATGAATAAAATATAAAGTATAATAATATTTCAATTAATTACAATTCTTATTTTAAAACTATTAATTATTTCTTTATCATAAGATGAAGATATGCTGTAGTATTTAGAGATAAATATTTAATAGTAATATTAGTTAGATGAATAATTTCATATAAAATATGTGTAAAATATAATCAATAAAAAGAAGAATATTTAAATTTTATCTTCTCATTTGAATATTAAATTTTTAATATATTCATTTTAAATTGATACTTATATCAAACATTTTGACTTTAATAATAATCTACTGAGAATTTTTTTATCAAAATTTTTAAAAGCTTAAAGATTTTTATACTTATATATAAATAAAGAAAATAATTTTTTATTTTTAGTTGTATTACAAGTAAGAAGAACAAATATATGATCTTTTAACTATTTTTCCTAACACATAATTATTTGATATAAAATGACTGAATTTCATTTTCTAAAATAATCCATTTTATTACAATTAAAAATATCTTCAGAATTATAATTTTTTAAAATTTGACAGAGACTTTTTCATATTATATCAAGATTTTGAAATAACATACTTACAGCTTTATTATGTATATTATGTTATTTTAAATTATACAATTTCTTAAAGTTATTGACTCACCTATTAGAGTCTTTAAATTTATTTTCTTTAAATAAAAAAGCAAACTTTAAAGCCTTAGTTGAAAAAATATTAGCAGTTATAATGAAACTAACTTAAATAACATTTTCTACTTAAATGATTAATACTTCTTAAATATTAAGAAAATGTGATTTTTTTCACATTTTAAATGAATTAAGATCTATAGCAAATCAATAGTCTTTTACTTTAAAATGTTATAAATCATTTCTTTATTAATATTAAACTTACTAGCTAAGTTTTTTTTTTTTTTAAAAAAGCAAAGATAATTTTTTAATAATCTTCTTTTTTTATGTTACAGTAAAAGATTTATATTTTTTAAGAATCTCAAATTAATATTATTTTTGACATTTTAAAAAAATTATATAATAGAAAAAGTAAAATGAAATACAATGTACAAATATAATATGAAATGTAAAAATCCATTTTTTTAACTTATTTTAATATTAAAGAATGTATATTTACTATATTTGAGAAAAAGATAAATATTAAATTATCTTTTATAGTTAAAATAATTTATTCTTAATTTTCATATTTTTGAAAAAAATCTTCATTGTATTAAAAAATCCAGTATAAGTAAATTTACTATAAAAAGGATTATTTATATATGTTATATTAATAAACTATAATTTGTTAAATATTATACAGCATTTATCTAATATAATTCAGTATAATAAGACTTTTTTTTATATGAAAAAATCTGTATATTACTAAAGATTTTATTGTAATATAAAATTTATTATATTAAAATTTATTATAGAAAGGGTTGACTGTATTGAGTTCTAGTTATTTAATAATTTAATACTTTTAAGAAATAATAATTTTAATACTTAAAAAAAAAATTACATTTATTAAAATTTTATTTTAATATAAAATGTTATTAATTAATATTAAAATTATTATTTTTTTTTGATGTGATTTTTATTATATTTAAATTATATATTATTTTAAAAACTTTTAATAAACTTAAATTATTTATGAATAAAATTAATTATAATAAATATATTTTAAAATTAATATTTTATATTTTATTAAAAAATTAATACTTTTTTTTAATTAATAAATAAATTTGCTTACTAGAAATACTATGATAAATATAAAATACTAAACTAATATATAACTACTTATTTATTTTATTATATTAAACAACTTTTACTATATAATTAGAGATAAGTTATTATATTATTTTCTATATTGATTTACAGTAAATTTATGATAGATTTATATATAACTCAAATTATTTTACAATTATTAAAAGTTAATATTACTAATGATTACAACATTTCTACTTTTACATACTATTGAAATATATTTATAATACAGTTACAATTTCAGATTATAACTTTAGGAATACATATTTTATGAATATATACATCTTATTGCACCTTAACTCTACATCCATAAACACATCTAATCTCTTTTCTCATCAACTTTTCTTTTCATAGATATTCAAAATAATGTTAAATATTCTATATATCTATATTATTAATATAAATAGTTTAAGAAATAGAAGAATTTTATAAGTCTTCTATAGTATTATACATGAATTAAAGATTTTGTAAGGACTGTTACAAATTTATATGTAAACAGAAAATTGCTGTTTTCAGGTTTCTAAGATTTTCAAGTTACTAGTAATAGTTATGGAACACTATAAGACAAATTTCCAACTATTGCATTATATAGCAAATCAGCATTATATCAATCCACTATTATCCAACCATCTTGTCTTTGAGGTTGCCATGTTCAAATTCTTTCATTCAGAATAAATTCCTACTAAATGGCATAAACCCAAGAATAAAGTGAATTTCTTTGATATATAGGCATGTTTCGAATTTGCACATAAACATCGCCTAGTGCAGTAATGTGCTCTTAACAATTTAAAAGCACCTTTGGAAGATTTGAAAGCATAATTTTCTAATAAAACCATTTGGATTGGAAGTTTCCAATCAAATTTTTATACAAATATACTTCAATGGGCTAGTGTATCAACATCGTTTTGTAAACTAGAGATTTCTAATATATAAAGGATGTTGATATGAAAATAATACAAAAGATTGTATTTAATATCGAATCAAAATAAATTATATTGAAAATTGTTGGAACGGGAAAAGAAATCTACGAGGTGTGAAGAGAGGCTTGTGAAACTAAAAATTTAGTCATTTTGCCAAAATGCTCTTTTCTGTTGTTTTGACTCAATTTTTTTATAGCTAATTCATTTCCATTAGTAGGAGCTTTTATAGCTTTCTCATAATTTTTTGTTATATTGAGCAAATGATTTTCATATTAGCAGCTTTCAGGTATAATTCAAAAGCCATTTTTGTTATCAACAGAAGTACCAACACCATTTGAATAACAATAACCTATCATGCCAATACCCCCCTTCGTTCTTAAATTATCATAATAAAAGCCATATTATAATCCTTCCGAACACGAACTCCTAATCGATAATAATTATCGAGATGATGTTGTGCAGTCACGTGGCAATCATTTTCCGCTTTTTGATACAAATAAAGTCTTATCATGACAAATTCCTTCATATGCTTTGATGAAGTATGGCACTTTAGTATACCTTCAAATGCTAATTGTTTACACCAAATTCATCACAGATCCCCAAGTAATATTGAGCAATAGGATGATTCTGTATCGATGCTTGACTAAATATCCGGCTAATATCTAATGTCGTTCCAATTTCTGAAATTATATATCCTACGAAAAATACAAACTTGGTGATCAACTAACCAATTATAAATTTCTTCCAATGGCGACATCACGTGATGTTAAGTAATTATAACGACGCTAATCACGAGATTTGCCTTCATTCGTTATCCTTATAAATAACTCCACAATCTCTTCTACCACTGTGTCATTCACTTTTTGGTTCATGATCGACTACTATGATTGAGTCCGAGTTCAACCCTTTGTTAACGCTTGTCATATTCTAGATCCTTTTCATTCATTGTACAGAAATTCAGAATGAATATAGATAATTGTGATGCCGTACTTTCACTTGATTGGGAACCAACTACCTGTTTTTGTTTTTCACCAAGAGAATTTTTATCCTCCTCATCATCTTTATCACCTTTAATAATCTTAATCTTTTGGGAGTTTGGATTTGATGGCTTTCAAAGTTATGATAACTTTGGCTTTTTATCCGGATCACCATCCCAACATCTATGACTTGAACGGGAGTTAGCGTAGATATATATAATATAAAATCTTTCTAAATTTACTGTAAAAAATTTTCTCTTTCTTGTATAAAGTTCAGAATGTTCTTTAGGTGTATCTTCAACAACATCCTTAACCCTTGTGAAATATCCATAATCAAATGTAAATCATAATCATCTTCTGCAAAAGGTTTTTTCCCACAAAATAATTCCCAAAGTCACTTTTCTTATTCAATTTAAACTTTTCGATTGTTCCTTTGTTTTTCCTTTTACTACCAAATCCTTTGGGATCAATATATGGAAGAACGCCAATTATTTTGATGCAGATTTTAGCACTAATACTCTCGATAGGTTTACTTAATCCAAAATCTACTAATTTGATTGAATTTGATGTATAAGTATATTGTCGGAATGCCCATCATGTATTGCATCTGATAATTGTAGCTCCAAATTGTATTTATCTTGCCGATTAAGAATGTGAAAATTCTTCTCTAAATAATTATGAAGTGTGCATATTCTAAAACCAATAAATATCCATTATATATAAATTTAAAATTTCCCTTAAAAAAAGATATATATTCATATATAATATTCTTTAAACGATATGCTTACTTGAATCAGTCTTCGTTATTCCAAAAACCTTATTATATTATCATGAAAATCTACATCTCAATGTAACTTAACTAAATTTTTTTTAAAAAAAAAAAAATTAATAAGAACAATTAATTATTTCTTAGTACTGCTAAATACAATACACTTTCTTCTTTTCACAAGTTACGTACCTCGCTGAAAATTTCGTTAACGGTAGCATCATTTAAACTAAATGATTTTAACGCAAAATATTTTTCGTTGTGTTTCCAATTCGCTCTAAAACACTTTACCAAATCTTCCACTACCTATCTCTTCTACGTTATTAAATTTATGATAATCGTAGTGTTTTATATGACTCTCTTTTATACTTTGTTCTATCCATTCTATCATATTATATTGGTCGACATTTTAATACAATAATGAGAAAGTCTGTCCTGAAACGAGGTTTTACAAATAAAAAATAAAACAATGACATTCATATGTAGTTGTACTACCACAAAATTTCAAAAGTCGAATTTTTATTGGTTAAAATTTTATATATTTCGAAGTCTAATAAAAATAGCTTGTGAAAATGTTAGGAGATATTTTATTTATAAGCAATTAAATAATAATGATGTAATTAAAACAGTGTTGCTCTTTCGCAATTCAATTTTATAAAACAATCGGAAATAAAAAAAATAAAACGAAAAAATTAAAATAACGAAATTAACGAAGTTACGACGTTACGATAAAAGAAAAATTATGGAGTCAAATAGCGAAACCGATAATATCGCAAGGGAAAAGTAGAGGATTAAGGTATATGTATGCAAGATAAGGGAAGGCGAATTGTGACTATGTAAATCGTGTTGTGTTATTCTTGATAAAAAAAAATCTTCAAATCCCAGTATATATTAAATTTTTGATTATAACGATGTTGCCCTAACGATTCTAAAAAAGGCTAAAATTTCTGAGATTAATTTTTATGAATATTAAAGAAAGTGAGAAAGAAATTCTCATTAACTGTTCGACTTTATTGGAATTCGATTAAATTTTCCCTCTTTAATATTTAATTAAAAATTTAAACATTGTAATACAATATAAATCGTATAGTCAATATATTTAGAATAAAAAGAATTTATATTTTTAACCGCAAATGTTTCTGAAGATGATGTGTTGAAAACATTCAAGCCCATAAATAATTACACAGAACTGTGCTTTGGTATTCAATGCATTTGAATCGAACAAATTGAAAATAATAATAAATAAGCGACCGAAAACACGGTAAATTAACATCATCATCATTCTCTCTATAAAAAAGACCACTTGGAAAACGTACAAGTGTGTACAGAACTTGTCCAGAATATCTGGAAAACATTTCAAGAATACGACGTCTTGAAGCATGCGCTGTCGCAGGTTTTCACAAGTTTTATGGAAAACACGACGTATTTTGCAAGTCTTTTATGTGCATCTAGGTTTCCTTTTTCAAAAACCGATAAGTGTTAATTTTTATTATGAAACAAAATATCGTTTAATCTAAACATCTAAAGATATGATACAAAATAAGAGGTAATGTTATTTGCTGCATATATGGATAGGGACGGTTCTATCGGTTCCCATTTCGGTTCCTCTTCGGTTCTACTTCGACTCTTCTTAAGTAAATTAAAACTTTGAGCGTGAAGTTAAATTTATACTAATAGAGAATCATGTGATGATCAATTAAAAAATTTTAGAGTATTATTATCTTAATTTGATGACAATCCGGTTTTGAGCCGACTTGGAACCGATCCTGTTCGATTTTTAAAAATGGATTGTAACTCAGGAAAAACCACAATATGTTGAATTTATAATCGGTTCCAGAACGCTCTTTTTGAACCGTCCCATCCTTAGAATGGTGGCTGATTCCAGGAAACTCTGATAAATACTGTACGCTTGATGATGCCAAAAGATACTTCATAAGGCATATGCAAAAAAATTAAAACATCCTTGATCTCGTTTTTAAAGTATTTCTACTGAGCATTTCTTTCAATCGTAGGGATAATACTCCAGAAATGAATTGGTGAGAAACGCTCAGGAAAGTTCAAAGAAAATTTTAAAAAATAAAGTAATATTAGGACATCTTTGGCAAGATTCAATTCTTCACTGTAATTTTCGCTGGGCAATAATAGAAGGTAAGACGATCGATAAAATGTTACTCATGGAAATCGTCCAAATTTACCACCAGGAGACCTCCATAGCAACCTGCAGTGTGTATAGAATAAATATGATTCGAAGCAATCGTAAAAGGAAAATTCGTATATTAATAAAAAAAAACTAGGTGGATTTTATAGGGAATTTGATAAAGTTATCCATTAATGAAGATAAAAATAAAAATGGTAATAAAGTTGCCCTTTCGATGAACAGGATCGGTATTTATATAAGCGAATAGAAATTTTTGATTAATTTTAATGCGTAAAAATTCGTTTATTGATTTCGTCAATTTATGTTTCACAAAAAGAATCTGGCCAATCAAATCATCAACAAAAAAACGGACTTCGTTACTTGATGTTGTAATCAAAATGCAATGCAACGATTCTTATTACAGCACCAACCTCTAACTTTTGCAAGACCTTGGTCTAGTATCTGATGATATTATTTTCTTCATTTAAACTTTTACTCTCCTCTCTCCTGCAACTCGCAAGTTTACAATGGAATTATGCAGGTGCATTAAGAAAATTAATGACAAATCAACTTTATACGAAATGGTCACAAAAAAAATAACTAGAGACCAAATTGAGAATATCATCAACAACTTGATGAACAAATAATAATGGGTAATCTGAAAAAAAGAATTTTTGTAGAAAATTCATTTTGCTACGTTCGGAACAGTGGATGGGATGACTTTCCGAAATCCTTATAAATGTTCTCGGAAGATTCTTGGATATTATCGGTCCCGTGACGTTTGAAATTAGAACGACAGCAGTATATATTTTGTCAAGAAATTGCGAAGAAATGCTAAGTGAATAAATTATCTGGAAGTGGAAATTAATCAAGAAAGGATAAAGTCGAACGTCTTGAAGATTTCAATCACGAACAGAAATATGAAGTATATATCGGAACAAATCGGAATTCTTAAAAATATAGTATAATTTGTCTATGGTTATTTTAGCAAGTAAATAAAAAGTATATTATATTTTGTTTTACATGTTCCACTATACTGTATAACGAGATTTTTTTTTCTTTTTTTCGCACCTCGTTTGATTGTCTTATTCAGTAATAATACGAAACGTTGAAGATAATGAAAATTTGTAATTGCCTTAATAAATGAATATATTAGAAGGCACGGAAATTCTGGTTCTAAAATTTCAGGCAACATCAGATATTGCCACACAAACGCGCGTGACGTCTTGCACATGAAGAAATCCGGATGCAGTAGGTTACTTAATAAAGATTGATCGAATCATCGATTACCCAATGATGATGAACAGCATTTGGAACTCGCTAATCTAGTAAAGGCGAAGGTGACTATCAAATTGTAAACTGTATTTACGTAGAACCAGACGATGTTGATGATACATTGGAAAGTGAAACAATTAGAGAGCTTGTACCAATAAATTAGGTTAGGCTTACATAAGTGAATTACAAGGACAGGATCATAAAAGGTCATGGCCAAGAATAAGTCACCTTTGGAAAATAGTAGAGATGCTTAAGGAAAGATTAAATAGCCTTCGCATAAACTTATTGGAAACCCAACCATACGTTTCTTGGGATTAATTGGAAAATTTGACAAAGTGTGCAAATTCCGAACATGTAGATCATGTTATATCGTGAACATCATTGAAACTTTGGTCAATTTGATCAAGCATTACTAAACATTCGTCCAATTTATAAACTCACGGTCGAAGAAGTTAATGAATACCAAAAATTTCCATAAATCATGGTTCATTGCAATATCGTGGATGGACAGGTGATTTAAGAAATTGAAGTTTGGGAAGAATTTGAACATGTTAGCAATGAAAAATATGTGTGAACAACAAATCACTTATAAGGCTGTGCAAGATATTGGTTGGTTATTTTCCATACAAAGCTGTAGTTTCTATAGTTGGAAACATCAAAAAGAATGGCTTTAAATTTATACCAAATTATTACGATTGGGTTGCTAATTTACCGATG